TATATATATATATATATTAACTACAATAACAACTTTGCTACAAATGATTTAATAATAACAATTTTAAATAATTAAATTCGATAAATAACACCAAATCCATAAAAATTAATGTAAAATATTTGGGGGAGAAATAAAAGTTTTCAAACAGCTAACGATAAATCTTACATCAAAATGTAAGATTATTGGTATATATGTTTTTTATCTTGTTTAATTGATATAACATTTGATAAATAATTAGTATTATGTTAATTATGATTTTTTACTATTAAAGGGTACTCGCACAATGCAGCGAGATACATCTTCATTTTAATATTTTATTTTATCCTTTATCTCAGTCGATGTTATAATATGATCTTATATGATTTTGAGAAAATGATGATGTTTTTATTTTTGAATAAAATATAAGTTTGAAGATATTATAAAATTTTGACAAAAATATATCGATATTAGTATCAAATTAATTATTTGAAATTCCTCATTTTTGTGTGTAATTTTTTAATTATTTTTTTATAATTTAATTTAAGTACAATAACGAAATAATTTATATTTGGTTTAATAATATAATTTTCTTATAAAAATAATAATTATTTATTTTGTTAGAACTCGATAATTATTCTAATTATATTTTAGATTTTTTATATTTTTAAATGAGATATTTATCCTTTATTTGATTATACGAATTCAAATATCGAGCTTTAATAACTTGTACTTATGTATAATTACTTGTAATCTTGAATTTTAAGTAATATGCATCAAGATATGTAGTACTTTATGCATACAAAAATATATCGATATTCATATCATATTAACGATTTAAACTTCATTATTTTTTGTGTAATTTTTTAATTCAATTTTTTATTATAATTTAATTTAGATACAATAACGAAGTAATTTATATTTGATTTAATAATATTTTTTTTACAAAAATAATAATTAATTATTTTGTTAGAACTCTATAATTATTCTAATTATATTTTAATAAAATGTTTATCCTCTATTTGATTATGTTTATCCACAATTAGTTATACGAATTCAAACATCGAGCTTTAATAAGTTGTGCTTTTGCATAATTTAATTGTAATCTTAAATTTTAAGTAAACATTGATTTTATGTGGTTTTGAGAAAGTGATAATGTTTTTATTTTTGAATAAAATACAAATTTAATAATATTATAAAATTTGAAAAAAAATATCGATATCAATATTAAATTAATCTTTTTAAACATTCTTGTGTTTTTGGTGTAATTTCCTTAATTTAATTTTTTTAATTATAATTTAATTTAGGTTTAGTAACAAAGAAATTTAATTTAGGTTTAATAATATAATTTTTTATAAAGATAATAACTAAATATTCTGTTAGTTATCAATGATTATCTTAATTATATTTTAAATTTTTTATATTTAAAATAAGATGTTTATCCAATATTTGATTATTTTATCTGCAGTTAGTTAGACGAATTCAAGTTTGGAGATTTAACAAGTTGCATTTATGCACAATTTACTTGTAATCTTAAATTTTAAGTAATATACATCAATAAACAGTAYTTCGTGCATAAAAAATCGTTTTTAAGAGTTTTTGTCAAATGCTTTATAATATAGTACAGATTTATTATACCAAAATTAATATATTATTTAAAATAATTATACAACAAACTTAATATTTGACGTAAAATTTGATTTCGGTGTCTAAATAGTGTTACGAATGTAAATCTGATCAACCCAAATTTTATCATATAGGGGTTGTTTGTTTACCTTTTAAAAGTTTCATTAAAAGACAGCCCTGAATCTTGTTTGGAAAAAAAAGTTCGTCTCTTAATGATTTTAAAGTCATTGGAATAATTTTGTATCATGGGTCTCACTTAATCATTCAACACCCTAATTTCATTGTAAACAATCACCAAACAATTTAGAAGGGTACTCGTGCAATGCATCGAGACACATATTGATTTCAGTGTTCCATTTTATTCCTCTTTTATGTCGATATAATACGGTTTTATGTGTTTTAAGAAAACGATAATGTTTTTATTTTTGAATAAAATATAAATTTGAAAATATTATAAATTTTCGACAAAAAATATCTCGATATCAGTATCAAATTAATCTTTTTAATTTTTTTTGTGTTTTGGTGTAATTTTCTTAATTCAAAATTTTTAATTATAATTTAATTTAGGTTTAGTAATATAATCATTTTATAAAGATAATAATAAGTATTATGTTATAACTCAATGATTATCTTAATTATATTCTAGATTTTTTATATTTAATATGAGATGTTTATCTAATATTTGATTATGTTTATCTGTTGTTAGTCACACGAATTCAAATATGAAGCTTTAATAAGTTGTACTTATGTACAAATTTACTTGTAATCTTAAATTTTAAGTAATATGCATCAATAAACAGTACTTCATACATAAAAAATGGGTTTTAAGAATTTTTGTCAAATATTTTATAATATAATATAAATATTTCATTTTACATATAGCCATCTAATTATTTTGCACTAAACCATTCGACAAAACCCTTGCGAATTGGTCGCAAAAGTTCTAGGGGAATAAAGAGAGGAAGGTTTCAAAAATTAAAAATTAAAAATTAAAAATTAAAAAACACAAAAGAAACTTCTTTACAAAATAGTATGGTGGTGGGTTTGGGCGTTTCCTCAATATTTTGTTTTCAAGTTTCGCGGTTATTGCCCCAAATCCTCATCTCTCTCTCCTTTCTACTGATAAATCTTCGTTAAATTATCAAATTCCATTGATCGATTCTCGTTTCCACATGCATCAAATGGTCTGACTGAAAATTGGAGCTTCAATCGGTAATCAAAACTCAGCTATTAAACTGATCTGTCTTTTTTTTTTCTTCTTCTTTTGTTATGATTATTGCGATTTAGGTTTATGGAGTTTGGATTTCATATATGTATCTTTGCTTCTGCTGCCAAGTGCCAACTAGTTTAACTAACGCTTCTTGAATTATGCGTTTTGGCGAATTAAATCTCACTTTTAGTTCAGCTTTTGGCTGTAATTCGTTACAGGTTAGTCGAAAACAGATTTGACTTGTTGTGTATGAAATCACCTTTGATCATGCACGGTTTGTTTTTATGATCTCTAGTTTTAGTTACAATTATATGTAATCCGTGATTTAACTGTTGGTTATATGACTATGAGCTGATCTTGCGATTACGACTCAATTTGCATATGAAATCGTACTCAATTTATTCTTTTACCAAAATGTTCGGCCAAATGTTTAATATGTTCTCATGAGTGTTTATTTGAATTACGAATTATTAATATTTTGTCATGAGTGTTTATTTAATATTCTCTTTTATTAGGTGCACCCTCAATTCCTAGAAAGGACATACATTATGGGCTTTGATGCAAATCTGGCACCAAAGTTATTCTACTTGTACCTATTGTTGTAAAGTTTGCTGATTTCCCAAAAGCTAGCAATCCAATAGCGGTTTCATGAGTTGAAATGTAACATGGTGGATATTCAAGGTTAAAATCTAGCTATCATTTTTACTTGAACATTCAAGTATGAGTTTTTCGTTATTACTGCTGTTACAAAGCATTTTTTTTTCAAACCGCCAAATTGATATTTTCGATTTTTGCTGCAACATTGTGTTTTATGTGTGGCACATTCTTCAAATCTGGTTCCATATGAAGTATTTTGACTGTTTTCAAGTAGTACTTCTTGGCAGGCCAGTTTCTCTGTCTTTTTGTCAACAGCTTTACCAATCTCTTAGGTGAAGTGGACCATCAATGGAGTTCTTTTTTCTTGTTGTGTAATAACACTAGTATTATCTGAGAAATGGGTTCAAGAGATGCCTTGTGATAGTTGGAAGAAGGTGCATGTTAAGAGGATGGGCCTATTTAATCTGAAGGAAGAGCACTGCTAAAGTGCTAATGCTTATGATTTAGATCTTCTAGACAACATGGACATCAGTCCTATATTTATTGTCAAAGATCTTACTACTTTTGTTTAGCTGATTGACATTACTGCCACACAATTATCCGTCACAGTCACTTGACCCTTTCTCTATCATTCCTTACATGTTTTTTCATTCTCTTCCTTCTGGTTCTACTCTACGATAAGGTATTGAGGTCAGGTAATTGAGGATGTTGTCTCCAAAGAAGAGGGAGCAACTCGTGGTGGTGGCTGTCCACCGTTTTTGGTCAAGTGGCGTGAATGACTTGTCATCAATTCCTCTTGTATTGCTTTAGATTTTGAGAGACTGGATGCTGACCTTCTAAAGCATTATGATTTGCAATTCTTTTTTACTTGTGGGGAGATATGATAGGAATCAAAAGCACCGTTAGTTTATTTGATTTGATTATGCTTCCTTACATGATTTATTCTATAATGGTAAATGGTCTTATAAAAAACTATTTGGTGGTTCTACGTAGGATTGGACTAATTTATAGTTCAGTTTTTAGATTGTTTTCAGTTAAATTTTATTCTTCGATGAGATGCCAAAAATCTTAGGTGTGCAGTCTATAAGATATTCCAGGGGTTGTGTAGTGATAACCCCAATTCATTTTCATTCATCATTTTCTTTTCTTAAATTTGTCCTGCACTAACATGTTATGAATATCCGTTTTCTTGTGACAAGATAAAACTTGACTGCTAACTTGGGAAGTTAGCAGTATATGTTATGTATTAGCGAGGATGACACTACAAAAGGAGTCTTCTAAGGTAACAAATGCAGCCTAAAAGGAAACATTCTTTTTTTCTGCACGTACCACTAAGTCTTCTACTTTCTCAGAACTCCTCTATACAACAATGTGATGGTCCTTCGAATATTTGTTTTTTTTCCTTTGACTTTAGATCATTCGTGACACTTAATTTGGGATAGAATGAGTAGATACTTTCCTGATCAATGTGGACCATACCATGGACATTTCATTTTCCTACCAAAATAAATGTATAATTTTCTTTTGACTCATGGTTTTGGATGTTAACTTGAAACACCTGTCATGCTTTCCTGGTCACTCATCTAACTTCACTTTTGCTTACACTTTCTCTCTTTCTCTGTGGTGTACCTGTATTACAATAAGTATATGATGCAGAGGAAGAAATAAGTAGATTGGATAAGTGCTTGCCATCTATTAGTTATTTAATTCCCGGGACTTGATTTTTGCTTGTATATGGTATGTTGACGGTAGTTATTTCCTTTTCATCCTGTATTTTTGTTTCAGTGGCATAGGGAGATCTCATGGGCCCAACAAGAAAGTCTAGAAGTGTGAACAAGAGATTCTCGTACAGTGATGAGATATCTCCAACTAAAGATGGAGATACTACCAACAAGAAAAACCAGCGAGTGAGTTTATTTTAACTGTTTCTTGCTGGGTGATGCTTTAATATCATTTTAGTGTTCTGGTACCCGAGTCTTGCATCATTTTCATCATTTAGTGTTATTGCACCATTGTTCTTTTACAAGGGCCGTGAGTTTGCTGCTATTTTGCTTTTTGTGTCTTGCATCATATTAGATCAGCATACTTAAGGAATCTTCTTGGTGGTCAACTGATCATGTAATATCCAGTTGAAGGTTTTGAGTTTTGTTTCCTGATGCTTTTAAGTTTATCCTTTCTCGAGTGATTTTCTGCAAGTTGAGGATGCTGAATGTTGCATGACCATTTTACGTTTTCTTTCCTGTCCTTTCTCTAAATCTACCTTATATATTTTTTTGATTTGATTTTCATTAAATTTTGTCTTTTAAAATGATCTACTGTCTCTGGAGGTCCACTTAATAGTTAAACTCTTTATATAATCACCTACTGCAACTTTGTGAACAGACGTTCACTACTGCTCAAAAACCTTTTCTATTGTGATTACCTTGTTTGAAGTTGCTGCATCTAAATAGCATCTGCATTCTGCATCTGCCAGAGTCTGAATCTCAGCTAAGGCTGCAATTATCTGCTATTTGCTTTTTGTGTCATTGTTTTGAATCTGATGCAAGGAAGCAAGTTTCTCTGCTGCGACTGTTCTTGGCCATGAACCCTGCTGCCTGTCTGAGTTTTTTGTCCAGGTTGGTCTTTCAAATTTAACGAGATGGGTAGCAGGGTTTGTGACCAAAAACAGTTACAACATAGAAACTTGCTTCCTTGAAGCAGATTCAGAACAACAGTACAAACATGCAACAACAGATAATCGCGACGTTATATGAGATTCAGATGCAATTTGCAGTGGCAGAATAGTTATGCGGTTCAGATGAAGCAACTTCAAACAAGATATCCTGACAGAAAGCAATCGCAATTTCGGAATGCAATGATTTTGGGTTTTTGGAATGGCACGGTTTTGGGTTTATGTCAGGGCATTGCAATTAGAGTTCCTTGAACATAAGTGCTGTGACAATGGTAATGAGTTGAGAAGTGGCTGGTGGTTCACAACGATGACAGTTGTCACAGATACTATGGTGTTGTTTTCTCAAATAGGAACTCAGCCGGGTCTGCATCTACAGCTGGTAGGCTCCAATACCATGTGAAACAAAATAATGTAGGGTTAATTGTCTTTATTATTATGGAGAAAATCCCTTTACATAGATACATCATAAGCGTCAGCAGTTTATATGTTGAGATAAGGACACATATAAACTACAAGAGAAATATCCAAAATTAACTAGGTGTAGGATTCCTGTAACAGGTTTTAGTTGTTATTTCAGCTTCATTGGGATTGGAAGTGACAAGTGTGATCTTTTTAATAATTACTTTGGGATAATTGGTTGATCAAAATTTAATAATAGCTGTGTGTGGCCAGTGTGGGTGTGGTGCGGTGGGGGGGGGGGATTGTTAGAGAAGAAGGGAGTCCCGTTTCTTGATGGATCTCTCTTGGAATTAGCATTCTGGACCATAATTTTTAGCAGCATCAGAGAATCTACAATGTACCTTTGTCATTCCCAAAACGTTCATAATCCACATGGATACTTAAATTATAACTAATGTGAGGGAAAGAATGAATGGATCTAGTCTGGTACTTTGTGATTTGGATGATGTATTGTCACAAATTATGTAATAACTTGGAAGACGCATAATCCCATGATATGTTTTAGATGCAAGGTCAAAGCAGGGATAATGTATATTTTCATTCAAAAATGCCAAAATTTATGACAGATGGGATGCTTTGGCCAGTTCCTATTTGGAAGACTGCAATTTCGTAGATGCTGCCTTTATGGGTCCCGGGCTCCCTTCCTTAATGGAGAACATTAAAGGATGCATATAGACTATGTAGCAGCAACAGGGGTACACAACATGCAGCACATTGACATGGAAGCTCTACAAGTTGAGATTCCAACAAGACAATGACATCAAAATTTAAACATTTAATATGTTATATATGGACAAACAATATTCATATGCATAGTGAAATTGAGAAAAGGACCAAAAAGGTATTTCTTATAATGGTGAAAAGAGTAATTACACATTAACACAAAAGTGGGCCAAAGGGCAGAACCTAGGGGAATAATATAATTACTACTGTTCACTAGGTTAAAATCATCACTAATCTGATCAAATGGTAACAGATGTGTGTGTCAGGTTTGTGGGGTCGGCTTGTTAAAAATTAGGAAAATATGGTTGCAGTACACGCATGCATATACCTACAAACATATTTTTACTAGAATAATTAACATCATTAGAGAATTTAAACCCAAATCGTGATAATCCATTGAAGTACTTGTACAACAAACTATATTGGGATGCCGTATTCTACAAACACACAAATAACAAGCTTAGGAAAATCGAGAAAAGATCAAGAAATAACAAATCAAAGGAGGCCTACAATAAAAATAGAAGAGATGCGTATGTAGATAAGAGGTGACGATGATAAGCGTTGAGAGTAGAAACAAATCATCAAAATTTTAATCATTTTGACAATAGGAGTGTAAATAATTTATGTTTTTTTATACATGTCCATATAAAGTATTTAAAGTGTGCTATTTCCCTTTTGGACCATATTCGTACTTGGCAGTATTTAAAGCTCTGAAACAACAATTTACAATGATAAATACAAGCCACATCTTCCAAAAAAGTTGCATGCTGCACATGCTATAACCTCGTGGTTCCGCTTAATATTAATAAATGGGAGCACACCTTGTGTGTATGGTGTTGGAATGTAGGCTTCGGCCTACTAAGTTAGACAAAAGGGAGGAGGCATAAAGTAAGGAGCCGGCCCTAGCCCAAAAGGAGCYGRCCCTAGTCTCTACCCTAGTTTCCTTGATTAGGAGATAACCCTAATTATGTTTGTCTATATATATTAATCTCATTGTACTTGTAAACATTTGTAGCACCTAAAAAAAAGAAAAACCTAGTTGCCCTCGTGGACTAGCACGATCAATCTGATCGTGTGAACCACGTAAATTCTTGTGTTCTTCTCTTGTTTTTGGGTTGTGCGTAGGGTTGTGCGTATTGCGTGTGTAACGTTTGTCCTAACAACTGGTATCAGAGCTTTAGGTTCTTGATCTGTTACACTCAATCGTTGAAACCCTAGCCATAGTCTACCGTCGCTGCTGTTTGCTGCTGCCACCGTTGCTAAAAGTTTGGGATAATGGCTGAGGACGAAAAAACCAGAATTGAGAAGTTTGATGGACAAGATTTTGGTTGGTGGAAGATGCAAATCGAGGATCTTCTGTGTTAGAAAGACTTGGATCAAGCCTTGACAGGAATAAAACCCGTAGAGATGGAAGACAATAAATGGACTGCTCTAGACAGAAAAGCCTTGGCTGTTATCAGATTTACACTGGCAAAAAATGCGGCCTTTAACGTTGTGAAGGAGACTACTGCATGTGGATTGATGAAAGCTTTGTCAAACATGTATGAGAAACCTTCTGCTTCTAACAAAGTCTTTCTGATAAGACAGTTAGTAAACACCAAAATGAAAGAAGGTATGTCTGTTACCTCACACATTAATGGTTTCAATACCATTATATTGCGCTTGTTATCTGTTGATATTAAGTTTGAAGATGAAGTCCAAGCTTTGCTTTTGTTATCCTCGTTACCGGAAAGTTGGTCAGGAACTGTCACTGCCATTAGTGGTTTAGTTGGAACCTCTAAACTCACCTTTGAGGGCATTCGTGACTTCATCCTAGGAGAGGACATAAGGAGACGGAGTTCTGGAGAATCATCTAGTGCTTTGCTAAGCACTGAAGGGAGAGGTAGAAAGACAGAAAAGGGTAATGGCRGAGGTAGATCAAAGTCAAGAAAGAGGAGCCACTCAAAACCAAGAAAAGACATCCAATGTTGGAAGTGCAAAGAAACTGGGCACTTCAGAAATCAATGCCCTAAACAATCAGATGGAAACAGAGAGGTGAACGCAGCAACTGATGATTCAGACGATGCCCTTATCTGTTGTGTTGAGAATTCAGCAGAGTCGTGGATCTTGGATTCTGGTGCATCATTTCATGCTACTTTCAGCACGAAGATGATGAAGAATCTACGAACAGGTAATTTTGGTAAAGTTCRTTTGGCTGACCATCGCACTCTTGACATCACAGGAATAGTTGACACAGACATAAAAACTTCATTGGGTACCACTTGGACATTGAAGGTTGTTCGAGTCATTCCAAGCCTTAAGAAAATGTTGATTTCTACCGGGCAGTTGGATGACCAGGGATTCAAAGTCATTTTTGGTGAAGGGCAATGGAAGGTTGTCAAAGAAAACCTTGTAATCGCCAAAGGTAAAAAGTGAGGCACCTTATACATGGTCGATGTTCCCGACAGTGAGGTGAATGCAGTGACCAGCGGGATGAAACCATCCAGATTGTGGCATCAACGACTCGGCCACATGAGTGAAAAGGGAATGAAGATGCTCGTTGCCAGAGGCAAGCTCCCAGATTTAAAAAGGGTGAATTCTGAATTCTGTGAACCTTGTGTGCTTGGCAAGAAAAAGAAGGTATCCTTTGCRAAGAYGGGTCAGACACCAAAAGCTCAGAAACTAGAGCTTGTTCACACAGATGTTTATGGACCAACACCAGTTTCTTCCGTAGGAGGATCGAACTACTATGTGACCTTCATCGATGATTCAACACGCAAGGTATGGGTTTATTTTCTTAAAAATAAGTTTGATGTATTCAACACTTTTAAGAAATGGAAAACCGCTGTTGAATTGGAAACTAACCTAAAAGTAAAGTGCTTGAAGTCGGATAACGGTGGGGAATACATTAGCAGAGAGTTCACTGATTATTGTGCTGAACATGGCATTCGGATGATAAAGACGGTTCCAGGCACTCCTCAGCAGAATGGAGTGGCAGAAAGAATGAACAGAACTTTGAATGAGAGGGCCAGGAGTATGGGGCTTAATGCTGGGCTTCCAAAGACATTATGGGTTGATGCAGTTAACACTGCAGCTTATCTTATCAACCGAGGAATATCAGTACCGTTGGGCTTCAAGATTCCAGAGGAAGAGTGGAAAGGTAAAGCAATCAAGTATGAGCATTTGAAGGTGTTCGGATGCAGTGCCTATGACTTGAAGAAAGATGGCGACAAGTTGGATGCAAAAGCCAAGAAATACACCTTCATTGGATATGGCTCTGATAGTATGGGCTACAGGCTTTGGGACTTTGAAAGCAGAAAAGTAGTCAGAAGTAAACATGCAACTTTCAATGAGGCTGAACTTTATAAAGACAGAAGCAHAGTAAACTCAAAAGATCAGAAAGAACAAGTTGAGTTTGAAAGTGGTGACATCATAATCAGAGGGCCAGAAGATACTCATGATAGTGGGAGTACTGAGTCTGATTTTCAGAATAATGATGAGTCTGAAGATGTTCAAGAAGACACTGTCAACAGCGAAAGTTCAGAGGATGAAGAAGAACCATCATCTCCGGTACATCCTCAACCAGTTGAATCACACTGGGTCAGGAGATCCACCAGAGTCTCTAGGCCTCCTGAAAAATACAATTCATCAGTCAATTATCTTCTTTTGACTGAGAATGGTGAACCAGAAAGTTATTCTGAAGCTATTAAGCAGAAAGATTCGTTGCAGTGGGAGCGTGCAATGAAAGAAGAAATGGGATCTCTGAACAAGAACAAAACTTGGGTTTTAACCAAGCTTCCGCATGATAAAAAGGCGTTGCAGAACAAGTGGGTTTTCAGAATCAAGGAAGAGCATGATGGATCTAAACGGTACAAAGCCCGTTTAGTGGTCAAGGGTTTTCAACAGAGAAAGGGGATTGATTACAATGAGATATTTTCTCCAGTGGTGAAAATGACCACCATCAGATTGGTTTTGAGTATTGTAGCTGCAGAGCGCTTACATCTAGAGCAACTAGATGTCAAGACAACATTCCTACATGGTGACCTTGATGAGGAAATTTACATGGCACAACCTGAGGGTTTTCAGATTGCTGGTAAAGAAGACTGGGTCTGCAAACTGAAAAGGAGCTTGTATGGTTTGAAACAAGCACCCAGGCAATGGTACCTGAAGTTTGACAACTTCATGGAGAGGGCCGGGTATAGAAAATGTGAAATGGACTATTGTTGTTATGTGAAGAAATTCAAGAGCTCCTATATCATTCTACTTTTCTATGTAGATGATATGTTGATTGCAGGTGCGGATATGAAAGAGATCAGCAAGTTAAAGAAGCAAATGTCT